TTGAGAGGAGAATGGAGGAGACGAGATTGTGGTATGGTTGTTCCTCCTAAGAGATGCTCATTTGCGCACACTCTCTCCGACTCTGGTAAGCACATGTGCCTCATATCACAATTAAAAAAATAAAATAAAACCTCCCATAAATTGAAATTCTTTATGTGTACATGCATAATCCTGGAAGGTATATTTTAGTCACTGTCTATTCAAGTGAACATTTCCAGAGTGAGGCTCTGTGTCAAGTATTTTGGCAGGTAAAGGGAATACTGAGGTATTTGTAAGGCAAGCTCTTACTTACAAGTTACTTCTAATTACAGATACCTAAAAATTCAAGAACAAACCAAAACCAATTCTAATCCTCAAGCTAAATGTAGTTGAGAAATGGCTATCTCTGAGTAACAGTGCTCAGGGTGGGTACGATAGAAACCAGGAGCAGAGCTTCTATGTTGAGTTGGGAACCTGGTCAAGGAAGTCTTTCCTTGAAAAAGAGCTAGAAAAGGGACATAAAGACATAGAGTCGCTGTTATAAAGGGATATGAATGTGGTGTGTATCAAGGAATGGAGCGAGATGACCCAAAATGAATCTGCCTGCCACTTTTTAATGTATACTTTTCATGAATTATATATCATTAGTTCCAAATTCCAATGAAAGTGCATTGGTATTTATTTATTTAAAATAATTATTTTATTTAACTTTATTTTAATTTGACCAGAGGGGTATAGAGTGAGACAGAGAGAGAGGAAAAGCGAGAAAGCAAGCTTCCAGGTCTGGGACTCGAACCATGTTCGGCCATGTTGGGGAGTCCAGCACCCTTAACCACCATGCCACCTACCAGCCCCATGCATTGGTATTTAAATAGCTGCAAGGACATCTTGTTAAATTCTACTGTTCATGGCCTACCCTAGAGTCTACACAGCCCTCGAGCACTCACGTAATATAAAATTCTTTATTTCATGTTTAAATGCCAAATTTATTTTCAGAAAGTGATCCACTTTTATGTTCAAGAGAAATTCAGACCCATTTCTCTAAAAGAAATTTTGGAGATAAACACTGATGTAGAACACATTCTTAAGCAGATCCCACTGTTTGGATATTTCATGCCCCGTTAAAATCTCCACAGAAAACTTCAAATATACCTTAGCTCAGACTTTTTCACAAGAAGGTCATATATTTTCTGATGAGTAGAAAGACTGTTAATGGATGAAATTGTTGAAAGATTCACCTTTGGAGTGTTTAACCATTTTATTCTCTTCGACACCAGCATTATTCCATTGCATTCTGTAATTGCAAAATCCCTCCTGAATCAGACAACTTAGAAAAGAGGGAACCCTGAAAAGTTCATCTTAACCACTAGTTTGTCTAATTGGCCATTTTTGTTTCATATATACTCAATTATATGTAAATCTAAATATGTAGTTTGCTATACTAAGTCCTATTAACTAATACCTTTAGACCATTGTCATCTTTTTCAGTCCCTGGACTGTCAGGACTTCTAGGAGTGTCCCATTAGGTTTTTCCCGAATCTGGGAAATCAGAGAACAGATTATCCTGCGAACCTGTCTCTTAAGGACAGATATTTGAACTAAAATGATTGGAAAAGTCAACCTATTTGTGAGCAGAAACTGGTGTTGCAAATGTTCTTCTTTGGGGGGTGTGCATATGAATTAATTCCTGGCTAGCCCCTTTCTTATGGATAGCTAACCTAGACCTGGTAGGAAATTAACATTTCTGTTTTATTCTTTTTTATTTATTTAAATTGTGGTAAAATAGGACATAGAATTTTCCATTTTAGCTATTTTTGTTTCAGAGGTAATAAGTACATTCACATTATTTGTACACCTGTCACTACCATCCATCTCCAGATGTTTTTGTTTTCCCAAACTGGAATTCTGTATCTATAAAATAATAACTCCCTATTCCTTCTTCCCTCCTACCCCTAGTAACCATTTTTCTACTTTCTGTATATATGAGTTTGACTACTGGTTATCTCAGAGAAATGGAATCATGCAATATTTGTTCTCAGATTTGGCTTATTTCACTTAGTATCGTATCTACAAGGTTCATCCATGTTGTAGCATATGTCAGAATTTCACTCCTTTTTTCTTTTTCTTTTTTTAAGAGGCAAGAGAGACAGAGACAGTGAGAGGGAATATCACAATCCCTTCTCCTCCCAGGATCTTGGGAATGCACACACACACACACACACACACACACACACACACACACACATGCCCAGCATGATTTTTCCAGTCACCGGGTCCAGAACTCAAACTGTGGTCAGTCACATGGGAGTCCAGAGACATAACTGCTGACCCCCAGAACTTCACTCCATTTTAAGGCTGAGTAATAGTCCATTGTGTGCATACACCACATCTTGTTTGTTGTTTACCCATTGATGGTTATATGAGTGCTTCCACATTTCAGCTATTGTGAATAATGCTGATAAGAATAACATACAGTGGGCCAGCAGGTGATGGGGAGGTTAAAGCTGCTGGGTCCCACATAGCTAACTGTTTGGTTGGAGTCTCAGACCCGGTGGCTTGAAAATCATACCAGGTGCTTCTATATGCAAGTTCAAGATCACGAGAGGAAACTAGAGTAAAGGATTGTGGTGTGGCCATCCCCCGGGAGGTGATTTCTCTTTCTTTCTCTCTCTGCTACATGCAAGTGCCCTATAACAACAACAACAACAACAACACACACACACACACACACACACACAAAACCTGAAAAAGAATATTAGCTTCCAGATGTTGGAGTCCCTGCTTTCAGTTGTTCTGGGTAAATACCCAGAAGTGAAATTGTTCGATCATATGTTAATTCTGTTTCATTTTTAGAGGAACTACCATACTGTATTTTATTCCTGTAAAGCTGCGTTCTTGTGCTCATGAGTGAAGAGGGCGAGATTAAAGATAAAATTGACTGAGAACTTCTGCTCTCCCCCAAATATGTTTTGCAATACCTTAAAAAAAAAAACCTTATGAATGATAACTAGGTAAAAAAAAATTTTCTCTCACACATCAATGAATTACGGAAAGAATAAAAATGACCCCATCAACACTGAAGCTGGGGATTTCAGGGTTTGACTTTTTTGCGCCTGATGTAACAAGGGTTGCTAGAAGGCAGAAACAAGCATTTCCTCTTCCAACTTCTATTAGAGTAATGAGACATCATCACAAGAAACAAAGGATCTACAAGTCTGTTTTACTATGGACTTCTCAGGTACGATACATCCAGATTTGGCCATCAGATGCAATAATGAGGCCAGACTCAAGGACATGGTTCCTAGAGGCATAGATCTGGTGAGTGAACTCAAGGATTCTTGGATCCCAGGAGGTACCAGAGAGAACTGCCTTGCCCAGCTTTGCACTCCAAGTCAATTGACCTCATCTTCGTACATTACAAATTGCTTTCTAATTTGCTCTCAAAAAAACTAAGTACCTAAGGACCAGCAGTTAGCATAATGGCTATGTCACTGAACTCCCATATAGTTGACCATGGTTCAGGTCCTGGACCTGGTGGCTTAAACTCACGCCAGGTGCATGTGCATGCATGCCCAAAATCCCAAGAGGAGAATAGAGGAGAAGGGATTGCGCAGTGGCCACCCCCCACTGGGGGATGATTTCTTACTTTCTGTCTCTCTGTCTCTCTCTGTCTTTCTGGCGAGGGCACACGCCCTATAGCAAAAACCTCTGAAAAAAAAAAAAAAAAGACTAAGTACCCAGAGAGTAGTTTCTGTGCTCTGGAACTTTCCAAATTGTTGAGTTATGGCAGCTACTTTAATTGGATTTCTGTAGTTAAACTCAGAGATTAATTTCTACCCTCAAAGTACAAGCCAGCTAGCTTACCTTTTATTCCACCTTAAACATATTTCTGTTTGCATGAATGAATATCATTTCTGACCCATGCTTGGCCAGCTCACCAGCTCACCAGCTGCAGCTAACAATCTTTAACAATCTTTTCCCAAGGATGTGAACTCACTGTGGTTCAATCCTTAGGAAAACTTTGCTTAGAGAAATAGAATTAGAGAGGATTACCTCAAGATTAACTAGCCCTTTATTCTTCTTAGAAACTCCTGACATTTATCTATCCCTGGATTAAGCCAGATTCAAAAAAAAAAAAAAAAAAAAGAGAAGAAAGGAAGGAAGGAAGAAAAATTATTTAATTATTTCCTGGCAGCTGTCATCCTGATCCCCTGTGGAACAGCTTTTACTGTCTTCCACATGGGTCTCAGTCTTTTTTGAGTGGGATTGTAGCACTCAGCTCTACTCCACTCCCTGGTGTGTGGCTGTCTTCACTCATTCACTCTACACAGTGCCCTCTTTATGGAGCCCTGCAGGGGGAAGGGCTCCCTGACCACAGTGCCAGGAGCAGTTGTTCTCATCTGGGCTGTTTGTTTGCTGTGATCCTGTGCACCACAAGAACCACCCACTTGGTCTTGACAATAAACGACTGACAGGGCAGCAGTCTGTCTCCAGCATGAGGTCAGAACACCTTAGCAGAGATTTTGTGTGTTAACCTCAGTCCAATTTTTCCTTTTTTTGTAAGCTCTTATTTTCCTTTTTCCTTACTTCTGTACTTGTGTTATCTGAAAATTTCTAAATCCTTTAGTAAATAAATTTGGAGTTGTAAATATGAATTAAATATTTTCAGTTGCTTTGAGCAGTCAGAAGACAAGACTGTCATTTTCAGATAGCTGGAATGTGCCCAATATAGTTGGTATTAAAACGGTTACTGTTGTGAATGTGACTAAACTGCTCGCTCTGTGTTGTCTGGGGCATCTTGGTGTATCCAGTTGCTGGTTCTGTGTCTGATAAATAGAAGCTCAGTAAATATTCCCAAGCAATTTGAGCCAACAGGATCTCTTAGTACCTGGAGGTGACCATCATCACAGTCTGTAGATCTTCAGAAGCAAAGTCGTGACATTTTGGTGTTTCCTCTACCTTTAATGTACATGAGGGACACCGCTGTCACCTCTGACTTTCTCTTGTCTCCCTCTCTGCAGACTCACATTTCAAGACTCCCTCCTGGTGCAGTGGCAGGACAATCTGTCGCAATTGAAGGTGGGGTTTGCCGCCTGGAGAGTCCAGTGAACTGACCCTTCAGCTGAGCATGAAGCGTCTAAGAGGCATTTCAGAACCCCTGCTTTGGGGATTATTTTAACTTAAGGTGGATATTTTATCTTCCTCATTCTTTAATTCCTCTTGCAGCCTTGTGTACTACTCAAGACAAGTGCCGCTGTAGTTAGCTCTTAGTGACACGAGGGTCTTTGGTGAGTGGGACTGAATGTGTGTGTATGTGTGTGCACACGTGTGCACACAAGTGTGTATGCAGAGCATGTGATGGCTTCTTCCTCGATGAAATAGAAACTCCTCATTGTGTAACCTAAGACCAGGAATGATGAAATCATCTTTACAAAATGTGTGCTTTAACTGTTTACAAGTAAAACCTAACGTTGCAGGAAACATTTTTATTTCATAAAGAGGTACCAACTGTCGTGGCTGTAATGTGTCAGACCTGAAGAGTGAACCTACTTGTTTAAATGACTTGACGGTGGTAGTGCTCCATTTAATAACAGTAATATGTAATAAAGTGTTTTTATTTGTTAACCAGTTTAAGTGGATCCTGTGGTAACTTAAACTGTTGTTCTCATCCCTCATATGGGGCATTTTTCTTTAGCAAAGAATGGTTTCAGTGAAACAATCTAGCAGAGAATTAAGGTCAGAACCTTTTTAAATAATAGTCTTATCGATAAAGTTTGTACTTCTTTCCTCAAGCTTTTCTAAGCTTAAATATTGCATAGCTTCGAGCTGTATGTACTATATTATGAAAGAATATGTAAAGAGAACATACAGTGACGCACAGTTCTCAATTTGTGTATAATGGAATGATATTTACGATGTAACACTGTAAATAAGAAAGCAAAGTTTATGGGAAAAATCAATATTATCTTTGTTTCATGTTTAAATATATTTTTAAGATAAAGGCACAAAAATAAAGCTTATTACTGTGTATTTTGTGTGACTTCTCTTCCCAGACTAATAAATTATCCTTTAAATACTAGATTGAAGATCTACTTTTTGTGTTCTTGGTTAAAAAAAAAAAATCACTTCCTTCAGAAATTATACCATTTTTTAATCCTGCTATTGTTCTATTTAAAATCCAGTCTTTGTGCAGTTAGGGCAGACCATAGCAAGATGAAAGTTGAACTTAGTACATGACCAAATGGTCAATATGAAAATCTCTAAAGTTTCCATTGCAATTTGATAAAAATAACAAAGGGAAGGAGTAAGGAAACGTTGCTTTGAAAAATCATATAGTGGCAGCTAAACGCTCAATGGTTTCAGTTGATAAATTGCTTCTAAATGTTATATTTAGGGATTCTGGAGCCACATAAGAAAACCAAGACTTTCCTTTTGATTTCTTTAATGTAAGAAGTGGTTATCAAGAAGCTACTAAAGATAGACTCCCTCAGGGAGAGGAAGTTCCCTGCACCATATAATCATGGCTCAGGGCGGTAACTGATAAAGCCCCAGATGAAATTATACACTTGACATCGATGTATGGCCAAATTATAAAGGAAAGACAACCAAAGTGGAGTGGGTGTAAATATGAATGATTTAAGAGTTGCTGATTTATATTCCTTGTACAGGCAATTACATTTGTCTTGCTGTGTTCCCGTAGACAGGTTGGTGCCGTGGTATCTGTTTCTCATTCCTAATGAGGCTGAGAACTTAGTAAGGGATGAACTGACTGGTAGGAAGCTTTTGGCTTCAAAAGCTTTCAAAGACCTGTTACCTGTTGGTAGGGTTTTTTCTTTTCAGGAACTGGACTGGATCACATAAAACTATCAGGACATTTCGGAGTCTGAAAATCATCTGAACTATTTTACCAGGAATGTCATTTCTTTTCTTCTGCTTTTGACTTTATTCCATTCATATTTAAAAGTTTGGATTTGTTAAAGATGCCTTTTATGAAGAATTTAAAAACTGATCAGTTCAAAAGAATGCAGCCCCTTCAACAACAGTTTGTCGAAACTTTATTCTCCAATTTTCTAAATTCTCTTTCTTATTTTAAGAAATATTGTGGGAACCAGCAGTTAGCGTAATGGCTATGTCGCTGGACTCCCACGTAGTCGACCGCGGTTCGTGTCCCGGACCCGGTGGCTTAAAACTCACGCTGGGCGCGTGTGCGTGCGTGCCCAAGATCCCGAGAGGAGAATGGAGGAGAAGGGATTGCGGCGTGACCATCCCCTCTGGGGGGTGATTTCTCGCTTTCTGTCTCTATGTCTCTCTCTCTGTCTGGCGAGCGCACGCACCCTATAGCGAAGACCTCTCCAAAAAAAAAGAGAAATATTGTGAAGCCAAGAAGAGGAGTGGGGAGTGATATTCAGAATCATGAAGGCAAAAATGTAATGAGTGGTGTAAGTTTCTTCATTATAGATCAGATACTAGAACCAGAGGATGATAATAGATATAAGATCCACTTCATCTCACACAAAAGTAGATGGGGTAGAAACAGATAAAATAACCTCTTTCTCTAGACTGGCTCATGTCACCAAGACTCTGACGCCAAATGTAAGGTACCCACTTTGCACCTGCGTGATTTCAGCTGTCTGCCTATCTTTGATTTTTTTTCTTTTCTTTTTTTTATTTTTAGAGTTTTTTTTTTTTTTTCTTCCTTAGGGTGCATGTGTCCACTAGAGAGAGAGAAGACAGAGACAGTGAGAAGGTAAGTGAGAAATCACCCCCCGGGGGGATGGCTATGCTGCAATCCCTTCTTCTCCTGCTCCTCCTGGAATCTTGGGCACACACGCACATGTACCCAGCGTGAGTTTGAAGGCACCCTGTCTGAAACTTGAACTGTAGTCGGCCATGTTGGAATCCCACTAGGTAACTGTTACACCATCTGCAGGTCTCTCTTTGATTTCTTTTTAAGAGCTGAGCATTGGGCATTTGATTCTCCTGAGTGTATGCCTGGTCTGCATTCCTCAAGGTCATCACCATTATACTCTGGGTTTGGAAACGGGTGTGGTCAGGGCTCTGTGAGGGCTGGGCTGTGTGCTATCTCTCAAGGCCCTTGCAGCACTTGGCTAAGTGAGCACATGGGAGTTTGCTCATGACTCTGTCTTTAGGTGCACCCACTGTCTGCTGTGGCAGCCCCTTTCTTACCTTTTGACTACCACTTCTAAATGTGAACTTAAATTTAGATATCAACACCTCTTAGAATTGTGTATCATTCCTCTTGGCCACAAGACTCTTGCACACCTTTAGGCTCTCCTACTCTGGGCAGACCTAGCAGTCTGATGTGTAAACAAGTCCTAAATGTAGCCTGAGGTGCTTGTCTTCAAGCAAAGTAGATGAGATTTGGTTAATGGATACAGAACCTACCTTTGGGCTACTCAAAATTATTTTTTTGCTAATAGTTTTCTTTTGTGTTTGAGAGTGGTAATGTTGCATAGCTGTTATCTGTAGACAAGCAAGGTTTTAATGTATCAAAGGAAGGAGGGAAGAGGGGAAGGTTTTAGAAAAGTGATAGAACATTTTCAACTCTTAAGATTACATTTAATAATTGTGAATCTTTTCTTTCCTTTTACAAAAGCAGTCTGAGGTCACTTGGAGGTATGGTGGTTGAGCAATTGGATCCCATATGGTCATCTATGTGGTTTGAGTCCCATTCCTGGTAGCTTGAGGAGTATGCCAGGCACATGTGCATGCATGCTCAAAATCTCAAGAGAATGGAGGAGAGGCGATTGTGGAGTGGTCATTTCCCCAGGGGGTGCTTTCTGGCTCTCTCTTGTTTTCTCTGTCTCTCTTAAAGAGCACATTTACCCTATAGCAATTTTTTAAAAAGCAATTTGTGCTTATTATGAAAAATCCAAAGAAAAGCTAAGGAAAATCTTTCTTGAAAATGTAACCCAGAACCATAATTCTCTAGAGGCAACAGTTAAGAACACCTTATAGTTTATTGGGACTAGCAATTGGCCTAATGGCTGTGTCTCTGGACTCCCAGGTAGTCGACTGTGGTTCGAGTCCTGGACCCAGTGGCTTAAACTCATGTCGGGCATATGTGCATGTGAGCCCAAGATCCTGAGAGGAGAATGTAGGAGAAGGGATTGCTGTGTGGGCATACACCCTGGGGGGTGATTTCTCACTTTCTCTCTCTCTTTCTCTCTCTCTGTCTTTCTGGTGAGCACACACGCCCTATAGCAAAAAACCTCCCCCCCCAAAAAAAAAAAGAACAACTTGTAGATTATTTATATACCTAGATTTTCTGTGTTTTTAACACAAAAAAAATGGAGTTATACTGGAACCTATACAAGGGGTTGTAAAACCTGGAATTTTCTCCGAATAATTTTATGAAAGGATGGCCAGACCTATAGGCTTACACAATATTTCATTTTCTGTCTTCCCGTACAATACTGGTTCGGTATAATGCTGTTCAATACATTTATTCTTATCCTAAAACTTGAGTAGAAGTTTGTGACAGTACTTAACAACACAGTCAATATCAATTTCCTTAGGCCACAGGTGTATACAGTGACCACTGTAGAAAGATCTTAACCATTGAAAGCCAACTGACCGGCGCCCTATGGCAGACCATTATCACTGCCCTTAGGCCCTACTGTTTCATAACTCCCAAAGGCTAATAGCTGCACCTCAGTGCCTAGAGAATTTTTCTGGAATCATGAGAAGCTGCTCTGTCTTGTACTAAAGCCAAAAGTGCCAGGGAATCAGCACTTTCCAGAAATAGTTCTCAACAAATAAGTGACATAAGTTGATGTGTAAGTATACTAATGCCTTTGTTCCTTGGATGGAGTAATTCTGACATGTGTTTCTGTTTGTAAGATATTCCCAAAAGGATTTAAGTTTCAGTTGCTCCCTGTGGTAGTTAACTTAATATACTTTGTATGCACTTTCCTCCATTCCCTGTACCTTTTTTCTACTCCCCTACCTGTGTTACCTAGAATCATCTCCCAAGAAGCAGCTTGCACTCAACTCTTTGTCTTAGGTTTCTTCTGGAGGACTTGAAACCGAGATACATTTCAGTCCATATACTCTTGGCTGTAAAACCCTGGTGCAACTTTGAGTCCTCTTCTATTAAGGGTGAACCCACCAATCTGGGCTC